TAAACTGCTATTCTTTATAAATCACCCAGGCTGAGGAATGTTGTTATGGCAACATAAAACAGACCAGGACACTATCCTAGTCTCCAGCAACCCCCCCCCCCCAAAACATGGACAGACTAATGGAAAAAAAATCTTAATTTTTATGTAAAAATGTCTGACTTTTCATCAAAAGATCCAGTACTTAGAGCCTAAATGTATGTGTTTGGTTTAATGTATCTGTGATTCAATAATATCTTGATTTTAAAATGATTATGGTTTTTGGAACACATGTTACTTCTTGTCACTCTGTAACCTTTCTTCCTATTCAGGAAACAGATAGGGTAATTTAGGCAAACTAGAGAATAAATGAAAGAAGAATGGAAGCAATACAATAGCTAAGTTCATGGCTTTTAGATCTTGAAAAGGCTGGGTCAGTGTACAAACAATAGCTCAGGTGAAGCAGCATGTTATCATATCACCAGACTGAATCTAGATGAAGAAAGAAAGGGCTAAGGGAGAAGGGAAGGAACAAGTTTAGACAATGAGGAATTTCTGAGAATGGGTCCTAGTCTCTACTATTTCCATCCTCGCAGAGAAATCCCAGGGCAGGGAGTGGCTGATCACTGACACCTCCAGGTAAGAATGGGAACCTGAGAGCAAAGGAAACATGCATCCTGCACCTTCTTCCCAGGTAATGTCAGCAAAGTGTCCAGATCCCAAGAAGAAATGGTTTCCTGAGGGCTTTGTAGTTTGCCTTTGAGCATGGCACAAGTGACAGGAAACTCTTTCCCCATATGAAAGGGCAGCAGGAACTGACACAAAACATGGGTAGAGTGCACCTTCTCATGGTCAGGATTATGGGACTGCTATGACCACTGCCTAAAGATCAGGAGAGTAATAGGCACCGTGTCAGATGGCAGTGCAGGTGGAAAATGAAAGACTCAACTTTCATGGTCCAGACATGGCATGATGCTATTTCTCCCCTAAGTATCAAGATACGCAATCAGAGAGGGCAGAGTGATATCCTGCATTAGGTGGAAATAAGCTGATGCTATCTAAGATAAAGATTCTACTTTTTATTTCTATACTGAGGATAGAATCCAGGACCTTTACACTGAACTGAATCCTCAGCTTTTTTCATTTTTTATTGTGAGATACAATCTTGCTAAGTTGTTCAGGCTGGACTTGAACAAGCAATCTTCCTGCCTCAGTCTTCCAGAATGCTGGCATTATATATGTACACCACCGTACCTGTCTTGGATTCTACATAATTTTTTTTACAAAGTCCATCTTCTTATCCCATCCTTGCAGGTTACAAGCTATATAGCACTTGCTATGTATATAATTTAAGATTAAATACCCAGATTGTAGACAATACACTAACCTACTATATCCCTCACAGACATGAAAGAGAAAATAAGGTTTAAATATATCTTTAAAGTAACTTTTACTTCAGAATTTCTTAGAAGATTGAATATGATTGCATCAGGTTGATGGAGAATTTTAGTATACATATTTGAAGTCACCATGAATGAAAACAATTACTATTAAACAGTGGTGAAGGGCAATATCTATGTCACATTGCTATTAAAGAACTGGGCAAGATGCAAAATCAAATCTTACAGTCCTTTGATGTAAATTGATATGGACCTATTCCATAGCTCTGATCACAGAGAGCTGACAAAGAGACTCATCTTTTTTGAGAGGAAAGTAACATCTAGGCAGAACTAATGCAAGATGCTCACACACAGCTCACTGCCAATAGTCAGAATGCCACCTGCATCTTAATTAGTACAGACTGTTTCTCTGATCTTCAGTTGGGAGGAGCTAAAAGGCTCTGTATAGATCAAAGGGGGAATCACATTTAAGATTATACAATATCCTTCTAAATCTCTGGACTTGTATTGGTCAGTTTTGGCTAAATTATGCTTCAATACCGAGGGCTGCTGATAATCAGAGCAGAGGAGAAGAAAGTCAAGCAATATCTCTTAAAGTTTCTGCTAGGAAGTAGCACGTGTTTCTTATGATCACACTACATTGATCAAAGCATATGATTCCTGACAGAGGTGGGGCATTGTAAATGTCCTACAGGGAAGGGTAGCAAATACATTTTGCAACAATTCAATCTGCCAAAGACATTCTTATTTCTGTTATCACAAATTGATTAGCAACCTAAGTATAAAATTATAGAAAATGGCCCTATTTATAAATTAGAATTTTCAGTTGTAAGAAAAGGAGCAGCTACTTTGATTAACTGTCATGCTTTCACATCAGTTTTGTTTCCTTGAGTTAATGTTGATAGGGAAAAAATAGCTGGATGGTATTTTGAATTTAGTATTTCAAAATTTTCCTAGTTTTTCTTTCTTGATTCTTTCTTTTTTTGGTCCTAGGTAAGCTACCACAAGGCAGATGAAAATGGCTAAGGATGACTACATAGGTATTTTCAGCTATTATTAGCTGAATTTTAAAAATGGGAAATGTTCAGCTCTCACTATAGTTTAAAAGTGTTAAATTTAGAAAAACATGTAAAGCAATATAAACATAGAGGTACTCTTCCATAACTCATCATTCATTACTTAGTTGATACTTGCTTTTCTAACAGACTTGAATAGCCCACTGAGCTATTTTGCTGTATTTAGCAATTTCAAGAAAAATTTAGTTCTAATGAACATTTCAAATAAAAAGACCCTGAAGTGTGGAACAAGACAAGGATACCCACTACCACCACTCCTGTTCAATATAGTTCTGGAAACATTAGCCA